AGAGAGAGAGAGAGAGAGAGAGAGAGAGAGAGAGAGAGAGAGAGAGAGGGAGTTCTTCTTCTTCCTCCTCTCAGTCCACCATCTCTCCCTCACCCTCTCACTATCTAACTTCTCGGCCTCAGCAGACTACGAGCGAGAGAGAGATTGGTGACTTTGGGGATGTTGACGACATTGGGATCCAGACTCGACTTTGGAATGGAGACATTGACGAGGGACTATTTGGGATCGATACCAGGGACACTTGTGTGACGACATTCCCATCGTCTCCCTCATCTTCGTCTAATCCCCCTCTTCTTCGTCTATGGATGTTTGGGGATGGCCCATTCTTCCTGTGTGAGCGCCAGGCCCCCTTCATAATGATGATGATGTATGCTTAGTCTGCATTGCAACATTGATTGGGTTGATCATTGGCATCCTAGCATTCCACTGTGCTATCTTGTACTACGTGAGGTCGGTCCTTGTTCTGGTTTGCACCATTACGGTATGCAACMGTTTGGTATCTCCTCCTCCTCTCACATGTGTGAAGTATGATGGGATATCCTGTCAGTCCCGGTCAGTTCAGGACTTATATCCAAGTCTTCCACTGCGCTACAAAGTGCCATTTTGTATGTATCAGGATGTACACTGCTTGTTGAGATTCTACTAACATCGCATTTTCCATTCAGTCCTTTTTATCACAATTGCGGATCCTTGGCTATACATACATTGCCCAACTGGGCATGTAACAGCTGCTGAGGGTGTTTCTTGGGTTTTCAATGTTGCACAATCCCCTTTTTTCCATGTGGAATGTGGAATGTGTGCTTGCTCCGAGTCAACAAGCTAACAAGCTTAGAGCTGCAGCTACATTATTGCATCAATTTATATTGTGAAAGGATTCGTGTGCCTCAGCAGCGCACCCCTGGTACTGCAGTACTGTGTCCCATTTTCTATTGTATCATAGGGCTGGATGGGGGAAGAAAAAAGGAAACGGAAAAGAAGAAAAAAACGATACACCTCTCACTTGGTCTTTCTTTATGGGTTTCTAAAGTCCCCTGGAATCCTTTTTCATAACCATCAACATGATTTTTTCTTGATCTATACAGCACAGATCTAAAAGCTTACCATCTTAATGCCATCACACTGATCGTCATTGCTCAGATCTGAACTTTGCTGCATAATGCCAGTCTCTCGATTCTCAATTGTTTCTTTGTAGACCTTAACAGACCCACCGCTGTTACTTCGTGTTTGATTATGCCCTATAAACTTCTTAAGTTCTTAATCATTTTTTTTTGGAACATAGCGATGCTTCTTGTGCACAGTGTAGTTCGAGTACCCCCTTATTTGTTGCTCTCCAACTCCATTTCCGTTCGGCGGTCCCCATTGGACCAATTTGCGTTCCTACCACGCCGTTCGAAAATGACAGGGATATTTTGGGTCTTTCTTGGGTTTATATGGACGTATAGGGCCTCTCCATGCTTGACATGAAGACTGTATGGACTACCTCCTTCTCCCAGACACAACGCACCGTCATCATGACTGTATTGGGCTGATTGTTTGTATTCGTTGGAAGATGGTAGGATTCTGGCCATTGGACTATCTGCCGATTTATGGACTTGATCTGTGTTTGTAGGTACCACAGGACCAGGATTGGTATGGACATGGTATATCACCGTTGAGTAGTATTGACTGTTGTTGTTTGGACATCCGGGGTTTTGCACCTGGTGTTCTCCAGTTTGTCCATGCCATATCCCATCTGAATCCAATGTGCCCTGAAGCCAACTCTGAGCTATGGTGATGTGTGCTTAATTTGCTTTTGGGAGCATGCCTGGGCTGTTCACAGGCCTGCTGGGACATTACATGAATGAACAGGAGTCCAAATTTGTTCAACGGAAGTGACTCGTACAATTTGCTCTCATGCGGGGGTAAGCTGTGCTGCGTAATCTTGTCTTGCTATGATTTCTCCTCTTTCTTTGTGCTTTTGCCTTTTGCTTAAGACAACGCCATTTTCGCTTCTTTCTCTTCATGCCCATCTCCTTTACTTATCATGGACTTGATGACAGGATTGTAACTATCCCTGACTGAGCTGTGGCTAAGGATGCTGCTCAGTAAACTTTGGCTATGGCTGTGCCTATGGGTGCTTTGTGCTCTCAGCTGCTCTGGTCTTGACACTCTCTGCTTTACCGTACGTTAGTCAATTTGCTTTCTCTGTTTTTACATTATTTTACTCACCTTGCTCCGTCTGCTTTAGTCCTTTTTCTGCATTGTGATGGGCAGACTCTTGCACTGCTCTTGATGTTGCTAATTGTACCCCTGTTGTCACACTTACATGTTAACAGGACCCGACTATCTGTTCTCTGCTAGGCAGCTTCTCCAGATGGCCAAGACTATGGACTTCACCGATGCTGCTGGTCGTAGTTGTGCTGCAGCTCTTGCTCAGAAGCTCTTGCAAGCTAGCCAGTGGGACGAGAGCTCTACTATTGAGGGGCAAAATAACCCAACTAGTGCAGGTAATATCACTTGTGCAACGCACCGCCACAAACTGAAAACTCAACTTGTAGTTGACGAAGTAATGAAGTCATGTTGGGGCCCAATTTCCTTACACTCTCTCTCTCTCTCTCACACACACACACACACACACGCGCACACACACACACGCACACACACACACACACACGCACACACACACACACACACACACACACACACACACACACACACACACTGTTTTCCATTCTCTTCCTCTCTGTTTGTTGTTCGGTGGGAGAATCCCTTGTGTGATTGTGATTTGGGAAAGGCTGATGTCACCACCCGTTTACTTGTTCAGCAACAAAAAAAGTAAAGACAACCACTATCAATAAAATACTCTTATCAGCTCAGACCACTGTTGTCGGCTGCCAGAATGGACAATTGAAACAAGGGCTCCCCACAGGTGATTTCAGGACCTGCAAACTGGGTCCAGCGTCCCCTAAAAAAGCCTCTTTAATCAGTCCTGTGGGACATCTGTTAGACTTGGAATGATACTGAGAAGATTAGCATGGCCCCTGTGCAATGATTACATTCATAAATCGAGAAATGAGTTAAGAAAAAAGAAAGCCTCGTTAATAAAACTACTGAACAAAAGCTCTCTTTTCCTGAATTTTTGCCTCCTGATTCTGTTTGTGTGAGGCCACTGCCTCAATGAGCCCTTTCGGCCCCTCTCTTACAGCCCGTCGGCCGCCCTAAGTGAAGGCAGGCTTGACGAGGCCTTCAGGGCCTTCTTTCGGCCTTTGCGCAACTAAGGAAATTCAGACAGTTGCGCAGTGCCAGCTGGTTGAGGAAACCCAGGCCCTGGGCTGCTTGTGTGAATGAATGGAAAGCAGGCCCTTGGCTGGATACGGGTACTGGGCCACACACATGCCAAAGGCAGTTGGGCACATGCAACTACCGCAGGCCCCAGGCCTGTTCTCGATCGTACTGGGCCTCAGGCTACCGGGGCGTACTGGAAGCTTCCTGGGACTGAACACAGGCAGGCCACTTCAATATAGCAAAGGGCCTGCCTCCTCATTCGGCATTCGGGTGCTGGCTGCATGCTGCGCAAGCGCTGCTGCGCTATTTGCTGGCTGGCGCCTACGCTCTCACGGGCGAGCAGGGAAGGAGCACGCAGACATAGCCGAGCTGCGCTGCTGTAAGCTGGGTGAGCCGCAGGGTGGTCCTTGGGTGCAAGTGGCATCTGTGTGTTGGGGAACGAGGTTGTGAGTAAGGCGAGAGACATACCTGGTGCTGGGAGCGTGCGACATAGGTCGCTGTATGCTCGTACTTCGGGAGAGCTGTTGTCGTCAACTTCGGCATTGTAGTATAGGCTAGATAGGATGATATTAGGATCTGCCACATGTAGTCTAGGTGCCGAGCGCCAGATAGGATATCAACTCTGGTTCTTCGTTGATGATGATGATGGGACTATTTCAGCATTGTCAATTATGAACTCTTGGTGTGTTCTTATTTGGTGAATCTCGTGATGCAATTCTGCTGTTGGTTTGAGGTCACGACTATCTGGACTCGTATGTATGATGCTGCTTGATTGCTGAAGTTCGCTATTGCTCATCTTCCTTGCATTTGATATTGAGGGCTACTGGTCTTCTATCCTGACCTGCCATTGAGATTTGTATTTCTGAAATATGCTAGATAGGTTCTCCATCTAGATGCACCAGTCGTTCGTTCCTTTCTGCACGAAGCGGATTAACAGTCCCTCAAAACCAAATTTGTCTGGTCTTGTAGTGGCAAGTGTCTGAAAAGTTCCACCAATCTCAGTAATCTGCCTCGTAGAGCCAAGTGTCTGACTTTTTTTTTTGGCCATAATTCTCCCCTCTTTCTTTTTTTCTTTTTTGTCTTTTTTTTTTTAAAAGAAATTCCCCGGCCCCTTCTATTCTGGGGGGTATTAGTCCGGTTGCTTATCACCGGCAAGCATGAGCACAATGAAAAAGAAGGCGGAAGAACAGTGTTGAAGAAGAAGAGTCAGCCCAACCCTTGTGCAAGGAAAATGAGCAATAGCGAACTTCAGAAACCAAGCAGCATCATACATATGAGACCAGATAATCGTGAGCTCGAACCAAAAGCAGAATTGCATCACGAGTACCACCAAATAATAGCACAGCAAAAGCTCATAAGTGACAATGTTCGAGTAGTCTCATCATCATCAACAAAGAACCAATGTCGACATCCTATCTGGCACTTGGCGTCCAGACTACAAATGGTAGATCCTATCTAGTGTTATGAACTTGGTTGTCTGACGATTTTCACCGCCACTCACACACAGACAGTCTCATACACGCCCATACATGCATAAGAGAAGGGGGAGAGGAGACATAGTCCACTGTACACAGATCAGAGTATGTAGCGGAAGTTCAGCCATGCACAGATGGGGAGAAGACACTGCGTGATTCTCACTCTCTGACAAACTCCCAACAACCAATCACAAGAAGAAAGCTGCGAGGATAACAATTGGAAATTCACACTGATGATGAGCCAATTAACCGAATATCGTTACAGAGTTTGTTCCAGTATCTCGCCACACTCAGAACCCCACACTCCACTCTCTACCCTACACCCAGTTAGTAGCGCAGCACCGAAACAGCCTCCCAGAGGCCAGCGCCAACCACCCTGGTGAAGAACAGATCCTGCGATGGAGTCTTCAGTGCCGATGGACAACTCTGACGAAGAAACAGGCAGCTATGGCTGCCGCCACCCACAAACACTCAGCGAAGAGTCTCCACATAGCCTGGCCAGACGCAGATACCCCCAGGGGTAGATGCGCTGAGGGTGCCCCAGCTCCGGCAACCTTCAGAAGGGCCAGCTATGGCTGTAGTCCAAGGCAAGGGTCTCAGGATGCCGCCTGCAGACAATTGCCACCGCCAACTTGCTTGGCTTCTCCAAACGCCGCATCGCGAAAAATGAACCGCCAAAAGTCCCGAATCCATTTTTCCTAAACTATTAATAGACCTACTCTAGTCTAGACCTAGACCAGACTGACCGGACCGACCGGTACCGTTCCAGTTTCGTCCTTTCGGCCTCTCCCTACCCAGCTATAGGCTATAGGACCGTCTATCGGTATAGGCCCTTCGGGCCTGTCCGTCCTAGGGGTAGCCCGGGCCTGCTATACGCAGTAAGGAAAGCTGTAGGAAATTCGGCTTAGTGATGGGCCTATATTTCTCATATTTGCAGATATGTCCCTAATGAATTATCCATACAGGTAAGTCTCTCGGTTAGCCCTCAGCCAAACAAAATGACGAATCTAACCTACGGATAAGTCTCTCGGTTAGCCCTCAGCCAAACAAAATGACGAATCTAACCTACGGCTGTTACTGTACAGCCTCGCAATCAGTCTCGGCAGTCAAAATCAGCAAGTCAAAAGCTCATAAGTGACAATGTTCGAGTAGTCTCATCATCATCAACAAAGAACCAATGTTGACATCCTATCTGGCGCTCGGCATCCAGACTACAAATGGCAGATCCTATCTAGCCTATTTACAATGCCTCTGGTGACGTCAACAGCTCCCCGAAGTACGAGCAGATCTTGGCCAATGCCGTACACTTCAAGCACCAGGTATGTCTCTCATATCACTCACAACCTCGTTCCTCGACTCACAGATGCCACATGCACCCAAGGACCACCATGCGCCCCATCCAGCATACAGCAGTGCAGCTCGGCTATGGCTGCCTGCTCCTTCCAGCTCGCCCGTGAGCGCATGAGCGCTGGCCAGCGTTAGCGCAGCAGCGCTTGCGCAGCATGCAGCCAGTGCCCGAATGTCCAATGCGTGGGCAGGCCCTTCCCTACATCGAAGTGGCCTGCTGCCGCGTGCAGTATGAGGTACTGGGCCCCGGCCCAGAAGCTTCCAGTAGGCCCCACGAGGCTGAGCCTCAGTCCAAAGAAAACAGGCCCAGGGCCTGTGGTGGTTACCAGCGCCCAACTGCCCTCAGCCTTTGTTCGGTCCATGTTGTGTATCCAGCCCAGGGCCTGCCTTAGTTACATACGATGAAAGGCAGCCTGGGCCTGGGCGCTTCCAACCAACTGGCGCTGCGCAACTGCCTGAATTTCCCCCAGTTGCGTAGTAGTCCAAAAAGCCTCGGTCGGGCCTGCCTTCACTTAGGGCGGCCGACCTTGCTGATAACAGGGCCCAGTGGGGCGTATTGAGGCCTTATGCCTCGCACTTGCGGTTGGAGTCACCTACTCAAGGGGGGGGGCTCTTTCTACCTATCTCTGCTTCCAGTTTTGTCAACATTCTTTTTCGCTGAACACGAACTTCTGTCTCCAGACTCTCCACCATTGTCTTGACCCAGCTTCAGACTGCAGCATTCTTTCCATATAGCCCACAATCCTGATCTCTGCAAGAAAAAGAAGAAACCCCAAAACCGTCTGATCATAGGAAAGAAAAGAATCTCACACAAAGCATGCTGGTGGAGGTCAAGGTACTGCAGCATTCTTTCCATATAGCCCATAGTCCTGATCTCTGCAAGAAAAAGAAGAAACCAAAAACTGTCTGATCATAGGAAAGAAAGGAAAACTCTTATCAAGGAAACTGGGAGGAATAAAAGGTGAAATATGGTCCTCAGACAATACGTCAAGTATGAAAGGTACAGCCATCCTTGTACCGAAGTCATCCCGCCTATACACGGCAGGGTTGATAGTGGGTAAATAGGCGGATATGGTAGAAGGTAGGTGGTGCCTTATGGATGCAAAGTGGAAGGGTGAAGAGTTCAGAATAATCAATGTTTACTCACCGAGCAACTCTTCAAACAGATCAACTTTTATAACAAACATCGGTCATCTGATCCCCCCTTTATCGCCTTGTATTTTAGCCGGTGATTGGAACACAACTATAGACCCCACCACGGATCGTATATCTAGGTCCTCGGTGGGTCAGCCAACACAGGAGGCGGTGCCCATCTAAAAGCTGATGATGGATTACAATCTAGGTGAACCATACCGGACTTTGCATTCGGGGACAAGAGCCTTCACATTGGTTAAAAAGAA